CTCTCGCTCTGTTGCTTTCTTTGTCTGCGTCTGTACACTCTGCATTGAGCATCCTATCCCTCTTATGCCTGTCCTTCTTTATCTCTTTCTCTCTCCTCATCGTCAGCAGCAGCAGCAGCAGCAACAGCAGCAACAGCAGCAACAGCAACAGCAGCAGCACAATCATATTCAGTATTGTAACTGAGCTAAGCTGATGCTCTAACATTCTTACTTTATTTCACTTCTCCCCTCATTCTTTTTCTCTCTAAATTCTTTCTTTTCTTTCTCTCTATCCAATGGGTTTCCTCTCCGCCATAGACGACGGGGGCCCCCCAGGGCCCCCAAACCCTCGTGTACCCCCCTCTTCCTTTCCTCCCCCCTCCCTGGGGCCCCCCCCCGGGGCCCCCTCAGGGGCCCCCTCAGGGTCCCAGTCAGGGGCCCAGTCAGGGGTCCCCCGGGGGCCCCCCGCGGGGGGCCCCCCAGGGGCCCCCGGGGCGTGGGCGTGCAACCTGGTGAAGGGTGTGGGGTGGGCTGAGGAGCAGGGGAGACGATGCCACATGGAGGACGGGCTGGTGGTGATTCGGGGGTTCGGGGGGCAGCGGGGTGCGTGGTTGCTGGGTTTGTATGATGGGCATGGGGGGCGTAAGACAGTAGATTTGTTGCTGCAGCAGCTGCATGCATGTGTATGGAGAGAGATAAATAGTAAAGCTTTTAAGAGAAGAGATGAGTTTCTATCTAAACATTCATGGGGGCCCCTTATGGGGGCCCTTAATAAACCCTTGGGGGCCCCCCTACCCTCTCCTCTTATTTTTTGTTCTGTTGATGATATACAAGCAGCAATTGTTGCTGCATTTAAAGCAACAGATGAATATCTTCTGCGTATGGGTATTTGTGAGAGTGGCAGCACAGCATGTCTTTGTCTTATACACCCTTCTCTCTCCTTGCCTGCCTCTATCCACACCAGCACCAGCACCAGCAGCAGCAGCAGCAGCAGCAGCAGCAGCAGCAAGGGGGGGGATGAGGAGAAGGCGTGGGGTTTGTCTGTGTTGGTGCATGCTGCTCACTTAGGAGACACACGTTTGCTGCTGGTATATAAAGATGGGGGCTGTCGGCGGCTTACAGCAGCATCAGACCACAAAGCATCAGCAGCAGCAGAAACAGAAAGAATAGAAGCACTGGGGGGGTTTGTTATAGGAGAGAGAGTCAATGGGGTGCTAGCTGTGGGGCGAGCCTTTGGGGATTGGAACCTTAAGCTTGGCCCGCATGCATCTGCTGCGCTGCTGCCGCAAGACAAACACAAACAGCTCATAGTATGCAACCAGCCAGACGTACAGACTGAAACTTTTATACACCTGCAGCAGCAACAGCAGCAGCAGCAGCAGCAACAGCAACAGCAGCAGCAGCAGCAGCAGCAGAAACATACGAGACTGCTGTCCAATGCAGACGCAAGTAGAGACGCGCAAACGCCAGCGACGCACACACACAGCAGCAGCAACAGCAGCAGCAGCAGCAGCAGCAGCAGCGGTGGGAGAGTTGTGTCGCAGCAGCAGCAGCAGCGGGAACCAGCTCTGCTGCTGCTGGGGTGTGATGGCTTATTTGACGTTATGGATGATGATGCTGCTGCTGCGTTTGCTTTGGGGGTAGTGCAGGCTGTTGCTGCTGCTTATCCTGCTGCAGCAGCAAGCGAAGCAGCAGAAGCAGCAGCAAGAGCTCTCGTGCATGAAGCTGTCTCTCTTCGTATGAGCGGAGACAACGTCTCTATCATCGTTTGTCTGCTGCAGGAGCCTAGAGACCTTGTTGCTGCTGCTGCTGCTCCTGCTGCTGCTGCTGCTGATGGAGACAGCTGCCACGTCCCTCGCACTGCAGGCAAGCAGCAACGCAACGGCACAACTGCTGCAGCAGCTCATGCTGCTGCTGCTGCTGCTGCTGCTGCAGCAGCAGCA